AGGAAAGTACTCAATCAGTTTTCATGGTATCAGTTACCTCTCCCACGATCCTCTCCTAAACGCCAGCGCCATGGCCAAACCCGGCGCCGGCAATCCTTCCCAACCCGCCGCCGGCACTCAAACCAGCCCGGCGACCACTACTACCCTCACCATCCCCTCTCTCTCCTTCAGCAACACCATCACCGACGTGACCCCCTTCATCCCCATTATTCTTGATCTCCATAGCAGGAACTATTACCACTGGCGCCACCTGTTTGAGATCCACCTCGGCCGTTGCTCGCTGCTCCACCACATCTCCGATGAGTCTCCCCCCGAGCCGCACAATCCTCGCTGGCTCAAAGACGATCTGGCCATCATCCAGTGGTTATACACGCGCATCTCCACCGAGCTGTTCAACCTCGTCCTCAAGGACGGCGCCACGGCACGCGACATCTGGACGGAGCTCCGGCGTCTTTTCCAGGACAATCGTGATGCACGCATCTCCGCCCTCAACACCGAGCTTCGCACGATCACCCAGGGAGATCGCCTTGTCGGCGTCTTCTGACAGCAGATCAAGGCGATCGGCGACGAGCTCCGTGAACTCGGCAAAACCGTTGGCGATCGATTTCTTCTTCACGTGCTCATGGGCGGCCTTGATGAGCGGTTCGCTCAACAGGCGTCGCTGATCCCGCTCCTGCGTCCCCTGCCGACCCTCTCTGAGGCATGCTCTATGCTACAGCTCGAGGAGCAGACGCAGGCGCGCAAGACTGCCGCTCCCCGTCTCTTCCACACCACGGCGCGGCCTGCTCCACCACCGGCGACTCCATCACCGACACCGCCCGCCGCGCAGCCGCCCCCAGGATGGCGTCCCAGCCCCAACTACAAGGGGAAGAACCCTATTTATCGCCCGCCAAAGCACGGGGCGTCGGCTTCCTCCTCGTCTTCTGCACCTTCCCCTTCGGGTCCCGCGGCACCACCACCACCGTCATCGACGCCTTCATCACCAGCATCTCCGGCATGGCGTCCTTCTCCGGACCCATGGACTTGGCTTGTTCAAGCCTGGCCCATGCCCTGGACAGCGCCTTCCCCATATGGCGCTCCTCCTGCGTACAGTGGGGCTTGGGCGCCTGGTGTGCGCCCGTCTGTCGGTGCCCCCGGCCTCCTCGGCTCCAGGCCGCCGCCACACGCCTACACAGCTTATGCGCCGTTGTACCAATCTGCACCAGCTCCCACGGCATCATCCATGAACCCCTACGACGCTCCTCCGCTCGCAACCTGGGACGTGGGTGGTCCCTCGGCGCATCCATCTTCCTCACCGTACCTGCCGACTGCCTCTACTTCCTCATCGGCGCCGCCTACCTGGGATCAAGCTGCTCTCATTGCCGCTCTGAATTCACTTACCACACAGGACACAGGTACCGACTGGATCTTCGACTCTGGTGCATCTTCTCATATGTCTGCATCTAGTTGTACGCTTTCCTCTCTGCATCCTTCTATTCTGTTTCCATCCATAACCATCGGCGACGGCTCCACTGTCCCTGTTTCATGTGTCGGCAACACTAGCATTCCCTCCTCCAGGTCACGTCTTCTTCTTCGTGAAGTACTCGTGGCCCCTGCTCTTATCAAAAACTTGATCTCTGTATACCGTTTCACAATTGATAACCAAGTTTCTGTCAAATTTGATCCTTTTGGGTTGTCTGTGAAGGATCTCCATAGCAAGGCGGTGATAGCTCGGTTCAATAGTTCTGGCGATCTCTACATGGTTCACGGCGCGTCTTCCTCGTCAGCTCAAGCCATGCATGCCTCCCTGAACCTCTGGCATCGTTGCTTTGGTCATCCCAACACCACCACCACGTCCAAGCTCCTTCAAGAATTCCAGCTTCCGCATGATCGCGCCTCCTACTACTCCTCCTTGTGTCAAGCATGTCAGCTAGGCAAACATGTTAGGTTGCCTTTCGGCACCTCTACCACTAGTAGTACTTTTCCCTTTGAATTGTTGCATTGTGATCTCTGGACTTCCCCCTATCCCTAGTGTGTCTGGTTTCAAATATTATCTTGTACTCGTGGATGATTATTCTCACTACATATGGACCTTTCCTATTCGCAACAAATCCGACGTGCATGGTCTGTTTGTTAACTTTCAGCGTTATGTCTACACTCATTTCTCTCTTCCCATTCGTTTTTTGCAATGTGACAATGGACGAGAACTCGACAACACTCGCAACCGCGAATTTTTCCTTCACCGCGGTATTCTTCTCCACTGCTCATGTCCCTACACCTCTTCCCAAAACGGAAAGGCAGAGCGCTCTCTTCGCACGATCAACGACATCCTTCGTACCTTCCTCATTCAAGCTTCCATGCCACCAAAATTCTGGGTTGAAGCCCTCCGCCACGCCACCTATCTTCTCAACATACGCCCAACAACCAAATCCCCTAAATTCTCTCCATATGAGTCTTTATTTCTGGCCACACTTTCCTATGACAGTCTCCGTGTTTTTGGTTGTCTGTGCTATCCCAATCTCAGCGCCACCACACCTAACAAACTCGCTCCTAGATCCTTGCCATGTGTCTTTCTTGGCTACTCCGACTCTCATAAAGGATACCGTTGTCTTGATCTGCAGACCGGCCGTGTTCTCCTATCTCGCCACGTCACATTTGACGAAACGGTCTTCCCCTACGCCTCCCACTCCCAGCTCGATTTTTCAGCACCTATTTCTGCCACAAAAACCACTCCAGCCGGCTCTTCCCCGATCGACGTGCATGACACTCGCATGCATGGCCCTGTTCACGTGGTCATGTCGCCTGCCAATCAGCCACCTGACCCTACCACCACTCCAGCCTCGTCTGTCCACGCATCAACTCCGGGCTCCGTGCCTTCTCTCTCTCCCAATCATTGCCCACCTATCCCACCTAGCGACCACTCTCCACCACCCAATTCACCCGGGCCCTCCATCACATCACCTCTGCATGTCCCTTCTCCTCTCTCGCATGCATCGTCTTCTGCCTCTCTTCCGGCATCACCAGCTATCGCCTCTGCCTCTCCTTCTTCTCCTACATCCCAGCCACCACGCAGTCTCCCTCCCACTGCTGTTCCCGTACCCATTCCATCCAATGCTCACACTATGCGTACACGCAGTAAATCAGGCTTCGGTCTCCCTGTTGACCGCTTAAATCTCACCGCCTCATCCACTCCTCTCTCTCCCATCCCTACCTCTTACAAAGCGGCTCTCCTCGACCCAAACTGGTTCCACACCATGAAGGAGGAGTTTGATGCACTTCTTCTCAACAACACTTGGTCCCTCGTTCCTCGCCCACACGGAGCCAATGTTGTCTCCGGGAAATGGGTTTTCCGGCATAAATTCAACTCCGATGGCTCTCTCTCTCGCTACAAGGCTAGGTGGGTTTGTCGTGCTGATTCTCAGCAAGCCGGTATTGATTTTGACGAAACCTTTTCTCCCGTGGTTAAACCAAGCACGATCTGCGTCGTTCTCAGCCTCGCTGTTTCTTCTTCCTGGCCAGTCCACCAATTAGATGTCAAGAACGCCTTTCTTCATGGCTCCCTACACGAAACAGTCTTCTGTCGGCAGCCACTTGGCTTCGTCAACCCCTCGTTTCCAGATCATGTTTGTCACCTTAACAAATCTCTCTATGGTCTCAAGCAGGCGCCACGTGCATGGTTTCATCGTTTCGCCATGTTCATCCATACCCTCGGGTTCCTCCCTTCCCGCTCGGATTCCTCTCTCTTTATTCTCAAAACACAACACCACACTGCCTACCTTCTTCTATACGTGGACGATATTGTGCTCACTGCCTCTTCTGATGCATTTCTCAACCAGATCATTGCGTCTCTTCGCCGTGAATTTTGCATGACCGACCTTGGCTCCCTTCATCATTTTCTTGGGATCGCTATGTCTCGTTCTTCCTCTGGCCTTTTCCTTTCTCAACGCCAATACGTGCTTGATCTTCTCTCTAAGGCCGGTATGACCGACTGCCACCCATGCCGCACACCGGCTGAAACGGGTTCCAAACTTTCCTCCGATGGTGAGCCCCTCTCTGATCCTACCCTGTACCGCAGCATCACCGGCGCTCTCCAATACATGACTCTAACTCGTCCTGAGATTACCTATGCCGTGCAGCAAGCATGTTTATTCATGCATGATCCTCGCCTTCCTCACTATAATCATGTCAAACGCATCCTCCGCTACCTCAAGGGAACCATAGATCATGGCCTTTCCATTACACCATCCTCCCAAACTTCTCTCATAGCGTACTCTGATGCAGACTGGGCTGGATGCCCGGATACTCGTCGATCCACTTCCGGTTATTGTGTGTATCTGGGTGATAACTTGATTTCATGGTCGTCAAAACGACAACTAACTGTTTCCAGGTCCTCTGTCGAAGCTGAGTACAGGTCCGTCGCTCATGCTGTTGCTGAAACAGTCTGGCTCCGTCAACTCCTCACCGAGCTGCACCGGCCACTTCACCAAGCTACCATCATCTACTGTGATAACATCTCTGCCGTTTACATGTCTTGTAACCCTGTGCAACATCGTCGTACCAAGCACATAGAGATAGATATACACTTTGTAAGTGAGAAGGTAGCTCTAGGTGATGTACGTGTTCTGCATGTTCCCACCAGCGCGCAATTTGCCGACATCTTCACCAAAGGACTGCCCACTACTGC